TTTTTTTTTTTTTTTGGGTTTCAGTGACGTTATTGGGTTAGTATAACAGCCAGGTAGCTAACATTTCCAGGCTGAGGCCCGCAAAGGCCAACTCTGTTGTTAGGAGAAGGGAGATGGTTTTGATTTGCAAACTGCTTGACACAAGAGAAAAGTGTGAAACAAATATTAAATAAATATGTGTGTGTAATATATATATGTATGTATGTGTGTGTATACACTGAGTGGCCAGATTATTATGACCACCCCATCAGTACTTCGTTGGGCCACGAGATGACTCCACAAGATGACTTCTTTGGGCCGCCTCGTGACTCCACGAGATGTTGAAAGGTGATGCGAGGAATCTGACACTGCACTGTTGCCCTTCTGTTGTCTTGTACCAGTCTTGCCACTCTCCGTTCTGCCCTAACATTGACTAGTCGCTGACGGCCACAATTCGCATGTTCAGACCCAGATTTTCGGCTGACAGTCCAGTCTTTAAACACTTTAACAATGAGCCCCTCTTGAACATTTAACGAATTCTGCTGTTTTGCTGATACTCGCTCTATGGCTTGAGCGCCAACAATCATCCCATGTTCAAAGGCTGTTAAATCGCGTTGTTTACCCATATCTTTAGAAAAAAATCACTTCTACTGTCGTGGTAAACAACCTGCTTCCTATTTATAATGGTCTGGCCCCGTAGCAACTTCAGCGCGAAATTATAGCTAAGTTGCCTACAAACGTCAGGTGGTCATAATAATCTGGCCACTCAGTGTGTGTGTGTATATGTATATATATATATATATATGTATGTATGTATATATATTGCACACACATATATACTAACAAAACTGCTGTTGTCTTCAAGATTTCATTTATATGTATTCTCCTTAGAAAAGTGGCGCTTAAGAGGGAACCTAATTGCAGTTTTCAGAATCATTAATGGGGACTGCGGTATTGGGAAAAAAATGTTTACACCAAGAACTCGATTGATGACACGTGAACACTACAAGAGGTTAGAAGAGAGGAGGTTTAATCCTAGACTGTGTAAAAGGTTATTTACTGTGAGAGTAGTAAATATATGGAATTTCCTTCCACAGTCAGTAGTATCCGTTGATGGCATTGATAAATTCAAGAAACTTCTTCTAGAGAAGTTTCTTAGTTCGCAAAATATAGAAGGATAGGGGGAGTACTAAGTGCATATTAATTACAGAGAAACACATAACACTCACACACATGTTGAACTGGATAGACCTGTGTCTTTAATTAACCTTCCCTACTATGTAACGGGTTAAATTGTGAATGTGTAAAATAAACTTTTTTTCTTTTTAGAAAGTTCATGGAATGCTAGTAGAATTCTGGAAAAAATGATAGGATAATACAATAAAAATTAGACGTGTTTTAGTTCTGTGACAATATGGGCAAAGAATGATGAATTGCTAATAATCTATTAATCTTCATTATATTGCCTCATCTGAGATGGACCTAAAACTAGCTTCATTCTTCTCATCTTGTTATTGTAACATGACTTGTGTGGTGGCATGGTGCAGTAGAATCAAGTGCATTGCAATAGGAATTGCTTCCGTTACTGTAGAATAAACCCCCACACAATCAGTGGAAACCTGTGGGTGCTGTTGTCATTGTTGATCTGGGTTGTCAAGTATCAGTTTACGAAGCAGAAGACAAATGTAGCAAGTGTCTTGTTTTAAAGAAAAATAACTTCTTCTCTTACTGTCTGTACAAAACTTATCTTGTCAAATGTAATGCAAACAAATCCTAATGAGCAGCTTGAGTTTAAAAATTGGGTATGGCATAATCTTCTTCACAAGCTATGGTTTACTTTCCCTGATGGTAAACAAAACAGGAAATTACAAGTATGCGTTAATCTGCTGTTAGGACAAACACAAAGTCCACTGGGGTATAATTGTCTGATACTCATAGGCAGGATACCTGATTCAAAAACCTCTGCAGCACAATGTACACTTGTTTTTGGTAATTCTATAGTTGCACAATAGCCACCCAAATGGATAAAGTTCTGTCTAGAAGATTTGAGTGTTGACAGATTTAGTGGTTGTAGTTTAATGAGCATGGAAGAACAATCACAGCTATGATTTGTTACATAACTTTTCAAGCAAACTGAATTAATGTTACTGGATTTTCAATATGAATTTCAGAGACACCCTACTGACCATTCCCACTTTTAACCACACCCACAAAAACAACCTCATTTGTAGCCACACCCATAAACACCCCCATTTCTAGCCACACAATCACACACCTATTTTTAACATGCCCTCAGACAGTTGGTCACAGACTTTTGGAACAAGAGACAGACATTTAAAATATAAAGACAAAATAAACAGATTTCAGAGCCACCAAGGTATGCATGCATATTTAGGAAGGACACCTTGAAGGTATGAAAAGGAAGAATGCACCCACCTAACCCTTATATGCGTGGCCAATAAAGTGGGTATTGCTTTGGGGTGTATGATTAGTAGTATGGGAGTATACACTACAAGCCATACACAAGATCACCAGGGTTTAGGACACTTTTTTTTAATTTTTATTAAATAATCAATCCAGATCAAACCAATATACATAGTCCAGCAAAGTCTTTCTTACATTTTTTTGCCCAAGCGCACAGTCATCATGTTTCCAAACAACCGTCTTCAAATCTCTCAGCTCCACTTCCCTAAACTTCCTATAGAGTACAAGATCACAAGGGTAAAAGCATTTTACCGAGTTTGTTTATTTCAGTAGAGACTTTAGCCTGTGTCCTTTATAAAAAATTGACATTTCTTAACAAGTGATTTGCTAGTTTTATATGGGAATCTTAATAATGCAATACTAATAATGGTTTTCAGAGTTTGAGAGGTTTGGAAAACTTCATCTAGATGTTTTTATTTGCTGTCAATATAAAAATGATTCCTCTCAAAATCTAAATATTTGTGAAACTTAAAAACATTATGGAGTAGTTATCATCATTTGCTAACAGCACAGAGTTGTACAAAAAAGCCATATATTCCTGCCCTAAGTTTGGCACAAAATGTAAACCGTTATGAAATAGGCGTTTGCCTGAAATTGCCGAAACTATTTGTATTAGACATTTTCAAATTTATATATTTTTTTCATTTTGCAGGTGAGAGGCAAAGATACACTGGTGAACGTGATGGGGAAGACTCTGATGGTGCGGAGGATGAAGACAATGATAACGAGGATGAAGATGAAGATAGTCAAGCAGAGTCTGTTCTTTCAGCTACCCCATCGGTTACAGCAAGCCCTCAGCATTGCCCCTTCCGAAGCAGCCAGCAAGACGCATCCAGCACTGATGAGGATTCTCGAATTCCAACTTGCTTTGGTCACGCAAACTCCATGGATATTCTTCCTAAAGCATTGATTACCAGGATGACTGCACTGACCACACCGACCATTTGCAAACCAGAGAGCCATGAAAGAAAAAGTGATGATGTTTTGGTACAAAAAACTATACCTCCTCAAAGTGAAGCATCTTCTCCTAAATCCCCATGTCATCAGATGTCTGTGGATTATCCAGATGGTGCAGAAGAAGAGGGTGGCTTGACAGAAACAAAGAAATTAGCTGTAAAACAGGTAATAGAGACAATTTTAAAATGTACATATCAGGTCAAAACTTTGCAAACTATTCATTCCACAAGAAGGACTTCGACAAACTAGGCCAAAGCAGCGTAGGCTCCTGGTGTTGTCAAGGCCGGTATATTTATGAATTAGAATATTGGAGACACATTATTATCTCTTTAGTTTGCCCTTTTTCCAACTTAATCGTTCAGAAAACACCACTCCTTTTAGAATCAAATAATCTCTGTTTGCTCCTGGTTGGTGACATATTTGACCAAGTGCAAATATAAAATTACTCACTACTATGACACAGCTACAGCAATCAATACTCATTTTTGGTTTAAAGGGAATCTGTCAGAAATCAAAATATTTTATGGGAAGCCTCAGTTGGAAGTTGCCATTCTGTGACTTATGGCATGCATACTAGTTCTGGGAAAGCTATGTGCCTTTCAGTAAAGATGAGCAGGTTTAGTTTCACTGCTGTAGAACAATTATAAGCTGGGGGCAGCTTCCTCTTCTGCATTCTCACACACACGTTTTGCTTCTTCAGTTTGACTACACTGCCATGCGTGTGCTGTTACTGCAAGGAAGGCAGTCTGTTTTAGCATAGTTTGTGATAACTAGGTAGCTTATATAGAAGAAAACAATCTTTCAAAAAGCAGTGATCTGTCATCTTTCTGCAAACTAGCTCTCGGCGAGAAAATGAGTCAAGTCAAGATTTCAACTTGCAGCCGCAGTGACTTTTGCAAGAACAAACAATTCTCAGGCATTTTGTCCCAAATAATCAAACCTCTGTGTGTAGCCAGCTTACATCATAAAACATTAAAGTGATACTAGTAGAGTGCTGAAGTGTTGAAAGGTTGCATGTACCCTTAGATCAGTAATACTAGTTGATGACAGAAAATCTTTTCTGTGAACAGCTTGTATGATTAGTTGTAAGTAATAATAAGTATAATAATAAGTAAGTAATGTGGTTTTTATTGAAATGTTAATGTACCCATGGGGAGAAAATAGGCAAACCTTTCCAAGACTATTAATAAATCACTGCTGAGAAATATTCTGCTTATAACTTATGAATGAATAGTTATGCTATAGTCCTGCTAGGAATGTTTACTGCCATTTCATTTTTTATTTTTTTTAAATTACACGTTCAGCTACACTAATAAAATAGATGGGGCCTGACACTTGAGGCCCCGTTCCCACTGCGCGATATGCAAATCGCGCGTTTGTTGCGCGATTTGCATATTGCGCAACATCGCGTTCAAGCTTGAATCGCGGCTAAATCCGCTCCAAAAAGGGTCCTGCTGTAGCAACACACGCCCCGCGACAGCAGGACCCTTTGCCCCATTGAAATGCATTGGAGCGCGATATCGCGCGGTAATGTGCCGCGATATCGCGGGAATTACCGCGCGATAAATCGCTCAATGTGAACGGGGCTTCAGGAATAGAGGACTTGTTACCATACCTTTTACATTGATCCGCTATGCCTTCAACTGTTGCATCACTTATTTATTTTATTATCTTTTAAAATGTTTCATTAACAGACATGACAAATATAAACTTAACCCAATGAATAATGAAATGCTGTAAAATATTATCAACAAAGTAAAAAATAATCAAATGGTTGAATTGTAAGAGGATATGCTGCACCTTAAAGTATAAGCATAAAAAAGTGCAAAGTCTAGACAGAAGTACAGTTAGATTCCAATCACAAGCTAGGGAAGGAAGAAGACCTAACTGCAACAGAGATCATGTTTCCTGCGTGAATCCCAGAACTGGGTAGACATAAATACAAATAATTTGGCATTTAAAATTTCTCCCATTTATGCATTACATCTATATACTTTGCCTGGAGTTGAGCTTTAAGAGTAAAATTCCAAGAGGAATTATTGAAGTGTTATGTGTTTAGTGTTATGTAGTGTGCAGTTTTTGATTATACTGTGTGGAAAATATCAATGTGACCAATATTACATCATTTCAAAGTGTGTTCTCCTTTCTACATTAAAAATTACAGTACTACTGTATGGAGTCTAGTTATAACTTTGCTACCCAGCCATACGCTGTGAAAATGTCATTCACACAGCAGTCCCGCCACTAAAAAAAAGCTGAGGAGCATAGGAATTTCTATGTTCCTCTGCTTTATCCAATGGTGCGAATTACATTTTCCCAGCCTTTGGGTGAAAAAGTTATAAATAGTCCCCTATGTGTATTAGTCTTTTTGGGGTAAAAATAGTAATGCATGGTGTTACCATTTTCTGCCCACTAATCTTATTTCCTAAAATGTCTTTGTATTTAGCCTGCTTAAAACCAAATGTAAACTAGGTTTTGTTTTAAGCTAAGACCATGCCATTGCATTGAGGCAAAATGCTTTATACTAAAGCTGCAACCAACTAATCGATAATGAAAATAGTTGTCAACTATTCTTATCGATTAGTTGGTTCTATCCCCTAGCTCTCTCCGCCACGCTGGGAGGATTGCTATTGCAATTTCAAATGGCCAGTAGCAGGCTGGCTATTGGACCAGCCCATTACCTGCTGTATTTACATTCAACTGCCCACTGGCAGCTGCCATTGAAGCTATTCTGGTGCCATGTGCAATGGCCAGGAAGGGGGTCTAAAAACTGGTCTTGAAGTGGTTAATCAAAAAAATCGACCAACTAATCGATTATGAAAATAATTGGTTGCAGCCCTACTTTATACTGCTATAAGATTAAATGTAGGCCCCACTGTGATTGCTTTCATTGCACTTGCAGGCCTACACCTTCATGATGAGGATTGACACTTTACATTGATATTGAGTCCCAGTGGCTGCAAGTCCAGCCAAAACTTTTTTTTTGGGACAGGATAGTGAAGCATTAGAACTTCTGTTGACTACACTGTGATATGGGCCCTCAATTTGGAGACTTCTTCTGATTTTCTGTATATTTGTTGGGTGTCAGAACAAGAATTGCTTTACATGAATTACAATGTAAAGCAATTCTTACATTAGGCTGCCTTAACACTGCATGTTAATGTGCAGTGTTAAGGCAGCCTATTCATTTAAATTGCTTTAAGGTGTGTTGCAGAGCAAGTAAGATATTGTGTATGGGTCCTTAACCTTTCCAGTGGGGACACAGCAAGAGAAACCATTATTCTGTTAGAGTGCAGAAGGGTTAGAACGTCTGTCAGATTTTATTCCCATCTGTATCCACACTGGGACAATTTCATCTCACATCCTGTTCAAGTGTTGGGTGTTGGACAAAACAGGAATATTTCAGGGGGAATACAGACAGCATTTAAAACCTGACAGAGGTTTTAACCCTTTCCTACTCTATCCAAAGCTAATAACAAAATTAAAATTGACTGGAGGAGGGCTTTAACAGCCTTCCCTTTGTCAGAGCATCTATTTCATATGTACTCCCCTACTTGGCTATGACTGTTTAGACTCCTTGTTCATTGTGCCCTGAATAGGTATCCACTTTGCCATGCTTGGCCATTAAATGTGATTTTCCTTGTAAAGTTTGAGTATTTTACCAAATATATAAAGCCCAGACATCATGCTTATAAGTTTAAAATATCTGGCTAACCTTGAACCTTGCATTTAAAACCGAATATGTACACGTTTCATAGTGTAGAGATATTTACAAGTTAATTTTATTAATGGTTTTTGGTTATTGCAGGATTCATCATCTGTGAACACCCCATCCTCCCCGGTTGACAGGAGCACACAGACAATGGATTCATCTGTACCGGACTTTAACAACCGTCAAGAAACATTTGCCAGCTCTACTCAGCAGCACAACCAAGTGTCTGCTGCACCAACTCATCTATTTAGCCATTTGCCTTTGCATTCTCAGCAGCCTGTAAAATCACCTTACAGCATGATTCCAGTAGGTGGGATTCAGCTTGTCCCAGCTGGTCTAACTGCATATTCCACGTTTGTTCCATTCCCAGCTGGGCAAGTACAACTTACCATACCTGCTGTAGGGGTGATTCACAGAACTGCAAGTGCTCATGGGGATAAACCTACAGACATACCTAGCACACAAAGTCCTATAGGTGTGGCTGAAGTGAATGGAGTAGTACCATGTATTCCAATTGGTCAAGTAAATATGCCTGCTCTTAGTGCATCAAGCTTGCAACCCATCCAGCCATTAAGCATGGAAACTGTAAACATATTAGGCCTTTCAAACCCAAGTGTTGCACCGCAGATACATCCTGCAGGACTTACTCTAAATGCAGTTGGTTTTCAAGTTTTAACCACAACTCCTGCTTCCCAGAGCAGTCCCAGTGCACAGACTCACATTCCAGGCCTTCAAATTCTCAACATAGCTTTACCCACTTTAATCCCATCTATTAGCCCTTTGTCTGTCGATAGTCAGGGCGTTCCCGATAAATCTTCATGTAGCACAGCAGCTGGCCACAGTCCAACCAACCTTTCTGGGGCAGATGCCAAAAACATTAAGCAGTCTGATTCTTCACAAGTGTCATCCCAGAGGCATGATCCTCCTAAAACATCAAGTAATGCTGCTGCCACAGAGAGAGGCACAACCTGCAATAAGAACTCTGATCGAGAGAGTCAACTAAAGCAGAATACTAGCATTGGTCCCAGTCAAATGAAAACTGCCAAACCGGATCATTACTTGAAGATTAGGTCTGAAAGTTTAAACAGGTCTTCTCTGGGCCGGGCACTTCCTCCTCTTCGACACCAGAGGAGAACAGAACTGATCTCAAGACAGATGACTGTGCAGTACAGCGATTCCAGCAGCGACGATGATGAAGGCAGACTGATTATAGCAACCTAGACTCTTCCCATTTTCATTTTAGTTTCAGTATTTTTTTGTTTGTTTGTTTTGGGAACATTGGGATATAAAAGACTCTCCAAGGATTAGTGGAAAACCTTTCTTATCTTTAAAAGCACATTTTTCTTACATAATAATAATTACACTCGTGCAATCATGAACTCTTGACCAATAATTTTTTTATTTTATTTTTTCTCTGTTATTGTTTGCTCCCGCCATTTTTGTACATGTTGTATAGACACTTGTGCCTTTCGGAACTTTATGTGTAGAATATGTATATATCAGTGAATCCAATATAAATAATTATAAATGTACATAATACAAGGTAGTTGCTTGTGTTTAGTAAGTACGTACATATCTCATGTTGAGTAAAATAATTAAATTATAAAATTCTATATGTATATGTTGCACTGTTAAATGTAATTTTTTTATGGACGTGGGGCAACTTTGTGTACAGATCTTGTATGTAAAACTCCATATTTATTGTGTCCATATTAGTCTTGGAAAATGGTTCTGTCCATCTTTGTGTGCAAGACGGTAGCTTTACACTTAAAAACAGAAATTCTGTGTTAACCTATGTTCCAGTAAACTTTTTATTACTGACTTCTACTTTTAGTTGCATTGTGTGTTTTCTGATTTAAGTACTTATGGTTACCATTAAGGTATTGTCATTATAGTGCCATGGTTGCTTTGCCCATTCAGCACTTTATAATTGGAGTTCTAGCTCTGTTTCTAATGCAATGGGGCTTCTGAATATGGGGATCATGTGATCTCCTCCCTGTGACAATACTTGGGCCCGAGTGGCCCAATTGCCAGCACCAAATCCTGTCATATGGTGGTGGAGGAGGCACAGTGATATCATCCACCCAGATAGACCCCAACACCAGAAATCAATCAGGGCAGAATACTGCAGCAGGAAACCCCTGAGAGAGCATAAATTGGTAAGTATAGTGGGGTGGCTATCAGGAGGCACTGTCACTTTGTCCTGAATGGGACAGGTGACAGTGTCTTTATAATATATATGTTGCTCCTCTATTTTTATCGTAATGAGATGATTGTGCTTACTCTTAACCTAAAGAATTATACCCATGCATGACTAGAGTAGACTGCAGTGGAGAGTGTCCTTTCTGTGATCAGGCTTAAAGCCTAAACATTGGTTGCCAGCTATGTCATGGCCAAAGAAGATGTATTACAGAATCCTGCTGCACTCCTTACCAGGCATCCCTGTCCGCTCGAAATGAGCTCGGATGGTGCCGCCAATACTGAAACTTGTTAAAGATGTCACCAGCACACCATATTGAAATGAAGAACACGTCTGTTTATTGAGGCTTCGTGTCAAAACAAATAAAGTTTCGGGGCCACACAGGGTCCCCTTAATCAGGCTTAAAATGACAATACAGCTAAAGAAAAACCTACCATAGGTGACAACAAGAAGAGTCTTATGAACTTGGCCATTAAGACGTTTATATATATATATAGTTTTTCAGTCAAATATATGGTATTAAAATGTGGTTTGTAAAGATCCATATCTGAAGAAATGCTATTCAAAACCTTGGTTCACAGAAATGCGTGCATCTATGCTTCTCAAAATGTCCTACATATCATATCATTGTTTTGGACTGTTATGACATACATTCTAGCAAGCACAGTATCCATAACTATTAAGAGTAGTCCTTTTAGGCCAGCAAAGGTTCATGCTGTAAATGATGGCATCTAAGCATATTGCTATTTGCTTGAAAGCTCGGGGATAGACATGCATGTTATAATGACAAACCCCACTAAACATATGGAGATTCTTTAACCAGTACAGTTTAGTTTTGCAGATTGCTAAAGTTCTAGAGACATTAGCTTTATGGGTTATCTTCAAATACAATTAGGTTTATGTAAAGAAACTATCAATTACACAAAGAACAAAGTTAGATATGCATGTTGAGATAGTGCAGTTTTCATAATTGCAAGTTCTAGTATTCATTGCCTATGCTTAGCTGAAAAACTAATCTATATACAAATTTCCTGGCAGGATGGAAAAATGGGAGCTAACTTTGCTGATTTGAGCATGCATGCTCCAGGGTTATGGTCTAAGACAGGGATGGCCAAACTGCAGCCCTCCAGCTGTGGTGGAACTACGAATCCCATAAGGCTTTGCAAGATTCTCACAGACATGACTCCCGGAGAGAGATGCTTCATGGAATTTGTAGTTTCACCACAGCTGGAGGGCCGGAGTTTGGCCAGCCCTGGTCTAAGGCACTGTGTTTTTTACTACTGGTCTCACGAGATGAGCATTGATATTTGGTAATGTCACTACTGTGGCGCTCACTGTGCTCCTTGCTAGAGAGCAATCTGCACCTAAGGACCTGCAGGGCAATGATCTCCCTGCTTCTGCTTTATTCATTTTGTGTTTTGTGCACCTCTCCTGCTGCATTCTAGATATTACCACACCAGGCTCTGACATGATTGAGCAAAGCCCTGCTCATATACCAAGATGGCCATCAGAGACACAGTGCTGAACTAGGCATGGTAAGTCCGTAATGGGGAAAAGATCAGCCCCAACCACAGGCAATTTTGGTGACTAGTCCTTTGCCCTCTGCTTGCCTTTTTGGGCATGGCTTTTTCAGTTCAGGTCTCTTTATATACTGTAACTAGGCTTTATTGTGAAAGTTTGGCATATGGATATCTGGAAAGTTAAATGGTTGCAGAAGCTTTGGTTTGGAAAAGATTACTTGTAAGTTTTTATGACAGATATGTTGCTCCTTCCATTATTAGCACATTATGGGTAAATATAAATAAAATATGTGAAGAAATAGCAAAAGATTTAATTTCCTATAAAATACAGCTTGGTGCTTACAGTAATTTGTATTGTATGTTGAAGGAAGTGATGAAAAAATACCAATTTCACACAAACCACATGTAACATTTACAGACAAAACTACGCTTTAGCAGCTGACCCAATGGCTTAAACATTTTCCACAGGAAATTCAGTCTAAATTTATATATCTGCCGAGTACAGTGATCTTCACCAAGCCTGGTATTAACACTGTAACCATTTAATGTAGTACAATGATCTTTAGACTAAATATTATATTAATACGACATCTATATGAAACATGAGCTTTAAAAATGAACATACTATTACATAGAATATATGTTCTATTTTTAGTCTGTAGTTACAGGTGCCAAATGTTCCCTGCTGTACTTCGTTTTACATTTTCAAGGATGCAGCAGTTTTGGCCCCTTTTACCCGGGCGGTCCGATCGGGTCCACCTGTTAGTTTTTTAGGCGGACCTGATCGAATGCCCAATGCTAGTCTATGGGCAGCCAGGTCTAAACTGATGGGTGTCTATTTACACCTGGTTACCCCCGTCTCCGACCAGGTCCAGAAAAACGAACAGAACAGTGATTCTTTTAGCAGGCTATCTGGTCTTAAAGCGGACCTTTACCCATATCTTTAAAATAACAACACACCTTCAGAAATGTTTAGTAATGACAATCTTCAAACACCTCTATATAATTCTTTGCATATCTAATTTCTCTTTTCTTCCCCAGTCTTCTGGCAATGGTCATGTTAATTGTGGGCAGATTACTAGACCTCCCTTTCCTTCCTGAAACTCTGGCACATGTGACTAGACATGTGACCATGCACATTATCTCAGGGGAGGAAAATGCCTTTCCCTGAGATCTCATTATATTACAGATGAGATTTCCCAGCAATGCTCTGCTGATGTAATCTTCCCATAATATAACGCAATGGCACTTAAAAAATTTGTGCCAGAACTGGACCAGGAAGTAGAACTCTATTTGTAAGTAAATAAAAAACAAGTTTAACTAATGAATGTAAGATGATTTCATATCAGCATGTAGAGCTGCACGCTGCTGTGATTTTTAGTGAAAGGGGGTAAAGGTCTACTATAAGGCCTCCACTTTGATAAAAGGTAGTATCTCTGTGCTTATCTGAAAATTAATGAGAAAATCCTAAACCTGATCAAGAGAGAAGTTTCTATTGCCTTGTTAACCATCTCCCAGCCGCCGAACGTTGAAAGACGGCCGGACGGGAGTCTCTTGGATAGACGTCCGGATTTTAAACGGCCAGCGATGGCTGATTACATACAAGTTGTCCGGCGTCTGTACAGACACTCGATCGCTTGTATGATGCAAGTCGGGGTGCCCCTCCCCCTTACCTCTCCTCGTCCCTGCCGCTGCCGTCTCGCGATCCCGGGCGTCCATTCATCCCGGGCGATGTGACTCTGTGCACTGAGAATGGAGGGAGATCAGTACACGATCTCCCTCCGCTCTCCTCCCCGATCTCTGAATGCAGGAAGTGATGTATATTACATCACTTCCGCATTCCTCTGTCACTCTCCGGTACAGTAACCGGAGAGAAGCTGATGAAGCATATCTGTGCTTCATCAGCTTCTCTGGGGGTCCCTAGGTGACATTAGGGGTCTTGGAGACCCCTGATGTCTCCATAAAGGGGACCTGTCACTGTAATTTATCACATTGGGGACTTCTTAGCCCCCCTATGTGATAACAATAAAGTTAAGTGTAAAAAGTAAATTAAAAAAAATTGCTCCCAAAATAAATAAAATTTACACACACACACTAAAAAAAAAACCACAAAATTTTTTAAAAGTCCCCCTCCCCCACATAGATGCGCAAAAATGCGTTAGGTGCGCCTACACGTAAAAATGCCGATTACGCCGCACATGTTACATATCTCCGTGCACGTCGCAGTGAGAGCAATAATTTTAGGGTCATCAATCTCTGATTACACTAAACTGATGACCAGTAAAATCTTTTAAAGCGTTGCCTATGGCCAATTTTGGGTATGGTCATTTTTTGCGATTTCGCGGGCGCACGCAATTTTAAAGTGACGTTAAACCCTCAGATTTTTTAACCTAAAACAATACTGTAATGTGTGCCTTACTGTAATCCATGGTTGTTTCCCTTCTCTTTGCTGCTCTTCCTTTTAAATCTGTATCTGTTCTCATGCTCTGCAGAACTTCTGTTTTGCAGCAGACTGCCTTGTCTCAGGAATGGATTCACGGTGTCTGTGTATACGTTTCTATAGGCTTGTAACCTGAGCCAGCACTACAGGAAGAGGCCCTGAGCTGCAAAGGGAAGTTCTCCCCAAGCATGAGGATTTAAAAGGAAGAGCAGCAAAGAGAAGGGAAACAAGCATGGATTACAGTAAGGCACACATTACAGTATTGGTTTATGTTAAAAAATCAGGGTTTAATGTCACTTTAAGGCTTGACATGTTTGGTGTCTATTTACCCAACGTGACCCCATCTTTTATATTTTAACAAAAAATAGGGGACTAATAAATGTTTCCTAACATAATAAAGGGAAAACCGTTTTGTTTTTTAAATATTTGGTACTTTCTTTGTTATATAGTAAAAAATAAAAACCCCAGTGGTGATTAAATACCACTAAAAGAAAGCCCTATCTGTCCCCAAAAAAATGTATAAAATTCATTTCAGTACAGCGTTGCAGGACGGAATAAACGTCAGTCAAAGTACTGCAGCGCTGAACACTGAAAAATGGCCTGGTCAGGAAGGGGGTGTAAACACCC